TTTGACTAATATAAGGCCCCTTACACTCTAAATATGAATGAATGTCTTCTAAACATGTGAGCGGCGAATATCAATAACGGTTTAAAATAAAAAACATTTGAGGTTAAAAACAAATGTATTTACTGATCACAATGACACTATCTTTTGACTTACATCTAAACAGCAGGATATTTCTTAAATATATTGTTCCTGTTTCTTTAAGAAATGTACTGAAGCTATTTAAGGTTGTCTTTCCAAATTAACAAAGACAAGGGAAGCCACTGTTAAACGAAATCACCTTGAACCTGTCAAAGTTTAGTCATTGCGTCTGAAACACTGATCATTTTGCTAAAAATCGTTCATAATTTCTTTGTTATCCTAAATAACCTTGCGCGCAGGTGCTACTTTTACAAAGGAGAGAAGGAATGACTCATTGACATGTGTTTTCTCAAACTAAAATGAAAAAATTGACTGGGGTGATCGTTACTTTGTCATTTTTTTCCTCGCAGTTGGGAAGTTTAACATTTATACAGTAACAACCAGCTACAAAGGCAGCTTTCAGGAAGAAATTGGAGTTATAAGAAGCCATTTGTAGTTGCTTCTCTGGCAGGTCTCACCGTCCGAGGTCGTGATAGCGCCCCCTTCGGCTAACTTCTGGCTATCTTCTGGTAAGCATCAACGAATTGAAGGCACAACAGACTTTTTACATTAGCCATCGTCGGGGAAAGAATTCTTGGACACAAAAACCGGCGGCAAAGTACTTGATTTCGCCAGTTGTGAGGCGTAGCTTTTAACGTTGGTCACAGAAGCTGGAAAAAGTTCACTTTGGAAGCTCCGAGATCTCAGACTTTTCCTGAGCAAGCCATAACAAAAAACTCACGGAGGAAACTTTGATGCGGATAAACAACTGAGGTTTGATAAAACCTATGTAGTGGTTAACACGAATCCATTTACGAACATGTAAATTAGTTATGTTAAATTCTTTGTTTTTATTTTGCAGATAAATCTTCCAGAGGAAACAAAATAATTCAACGTCAAACATTTTGTGGACTATTTTTTTCCGATGCAATGGCGTTAGCTGATCAAAGGCGTTGTAACACAACCCATTCGCACACAGAAATTTCGTATTTTACCGCTTCACTTGCAACTGTTTTCTGCCTTGTAACTGTTATTGGAAACGTCCTCGTTTGTTTAGCCATTGTACGGGATCCATTTAGAAAAATGAAAACGCCTTTCCATTATTTTTTGCTGAGCTTATCCGGGACAGATTTACTTGTGGGATTATTATTGGACCCCACCGTGATATATGTCCACATTAGAGAAGCACATGGCACGCCAAATAAAGGTGATCTCTTATGGGCCTTTCAGATGCTCCATATGCTTTATTTCATTCTGGGAACGGCATCAGTCTTAACGCTGGCAGCACTAGCGGCGGACCGGTATGTCTCGGTAACATCGCCAGTCAAATACAAGACGAACATTACGTGTAAACGCGCCATCGTAACTTCGGTGGTCATTTGGGTTGCGGCGCTGGGCTTTTCTCTTTTATACTTCAAAGTCGATTTCTTTTTGTACTCTTTCATTTTTGCCAACACTGCTGTTTTAAGCACTTTTTTTATTCTTCTGTTTACTCACAGAAGTATTCTCAGACACTTGCGTAAGCGCTCGAATTATTTGCGAGATCGGAGAACTGATGAAAGCACAATCTCTGAGAAACGAGAATCCGCGAAGAAGATAAGGAACATAAAGAAAGAAAGAAAAGTAGCCAAAGCGTTATTGAGTGTTCTTATTGCTTTTCTTGCTTCCTTTTTACCTGCCTGTGTAATAATTTACTTGCTTAATTTCTGTTTAAGCTGTAATTGTCTACTGGTACATTGGTTAAGAGATATTCAGGGATTAATTGTGTCCTTAAATTCTGCTGTCAACCCCTATTTGTACGCCTGGCGTCTTCCGCATTTCAGAAAAGCCTTTTTGAAACTCCTCCATCTCAAATAGGGGCTCAGGTTCGAGTCAATCCTGTACCCTTTGCTCAAGAAAAACCGAGTTGTTAATACTGATCAGCAGACCACTGAGAAAAATGAGAAAAGAACACTTTTGTTTTTAATTTCGATATTTACACTTAACAATCCAATTTTCGGTTGCTTTGGAATGTTATGTAGAAAAATATTCTTCCTTTTGCAATTGCAGTATTTCAATTTAGCTATGTCACTGGCTGATTTTCAGTATTTTTTTTAGCTCAACCGCGAAATCACACGAGACATTAAAGGTATTTTCTTAAGTTTAAAACCCCCAAACCAAATGGGTGTAGTATAGTTAATTTAACTTAACAAATCGAGTGAATTTCTTGTTAAGTGGTTTCTTTTATCTTATTTCGTGAATTTTATTCGTACAAATGGATTGTTAGCGATGTAAAGTTTAAACTAAGAAATTGGAAATTAAAGGTATGATGACAAAACACAGCCAATGTGTACAGCAATTTCTTTCCCAGGAGTCCCCGGGGTCAACTGTAGTCGCAAAGAAGCCAGCCACGTTTGCAGAAGGGCTCGACCAGCCTGTCTTTTGCCACAAACACATACAGTGTATTCAATTCACAGGATAGAAAAACTGAGGAGGATCTGTTCAAGAGAATAGTCAGCAGGCCATGGAAATAATTTGTCGGGCTCCAACATTATTGAACAGGGGCGCTGGTTATGAGCTCCCCGCGATCTGCCGTCCATCTCCATCACTTGATACATTGTCGATAAAGATTCCGCGATGGAATCGAAAGCTTCGGTATAATACGTTTTATCTATTCTGTGAATTGATGAATCCTCGTTTTATTCAAATTGTCCGTTATGGCAGCATTAAGCAACTCTTTCATCGCTAATGAATACAGTGTACAGTGTATACTTTGTATATTTTTTTGGTTCAACTTTGTCCTACCTTCGAATTCTCCTTTCCTTTCGGTGTTCATATCATTATAACAGTTACAGTGCAAAGAAATTTTTCTTGTTTATTTACTGCAGATCTTACTTCAATTAGTAAAGTGACGAGTTGAAATAATTTACCTTACAAAAAAAGATTCACAAAACGAGGAGTCTATGCCAAAGACTACTGCAAAGCTGATCATAGCACGGTGTATTGCTTTTTCATAACAATACTTCGGCTGACCATAACAGCGTTCTTCAGGTTTACAGATGTTACAAAAGAGACTGTTCGTTCAAGTGATATTATTGCTTCTTCGTATTTAATGTTCTCATTAGAAGAAAAAAACGGAGAAGCACTCTGAAGTCGATGCATTGAAGTTTAGTAAATATCACAAAAATAAAAAGAGCTAACTTAAGATGTTTATACTATTATAGAAGGCGGAGGTCAGTGAGAATGTTCTTTTGTCTTCCCTGCTAAGTCTTCTGTTGAACTTTCTGAGGATGAGGAATCGCAACCTACGAAAAGACAAATAAAAAAAAATGTCTCTAGTACAGTTAAGTTAAATGATCGATAAAGCTGATCCATGGTAATCAGCGGACTAGCGTGCCTTATAGATGTATTAGTCTAACGATCGTGACATATGGGAAAAGAGCTGACATTTAGCGACGCCATCACTGGTTTCCCCGCGAAATGACGTCATGAGAAATGAGCGCAGAAACTCCATACTGATGACGTGTCACTACGCAGATCTGGGAAGCGCTTTTCATTGAATTGCCGTTGAGGCACATTTTCCCCGCGGTACGGCCAATCACAATCACCAGCAATATCCATGCATAGAGCGGTTTTCATTTGAGTGTCGAAAAGTAATTGGTTTTGCACTTTCTACACGATGCGATTGGCTTAAAAGATTCGCGCCACCTTTTCATTCAATCAGAAGTGAAACCAAAGCCAATTGTGACGCGCTCGCATGCATTTTCCCGCGCTTTGCGTCAGCCACATGTAATTACTTCGAGTTTTGATTGGTTCANCGATTGGCTTAAAAGATTCGCGCCACCTTTTCATCCAATCAGAAGTAAAACCAAAGCCAATTGTGACGCGCTCGCATGCATTTTCCCGCGCTTTGCGTCAGCCACATGTAATTACTTCGAGTTTTGATTGGTTCAATGTATTGTCTGTGTCCTATGTGATTGGCCAGAGTAATTACTGTGGTTTTGGTTTTACGACACTCAAACGAAAACCACTCTATCTGGGTATCGACACGTTATCATTTTAGAATTTCTGCTATCGTTCCTCAGACTTCTTTTCGCGGGAAAACCAAAATGTCGGCTCAGTAATGCTACATTAAGCTTTTTCCTGACGTCATAGAGTACTAAAGTGATGACGCCATAAAAATGAAATTTCTGAAATTATGGGATTTGTCAGGGCATTCTGAAAGAATAATGTCCAAGAGGCCTACTTGCCAAAAATGAGCATTTTGCGGCAAATTGTCTCTGAGATCGTAGCCCAGTTATACTCAGAAAACTCCACGGTACTCCATGGCTAACTTCTATTGTTAAAAACCTTTATTAAGCAGACACCGGACTGAATTGACAACAGTAGTATTTGATTACCTCCTTGAAATACGTACTGTAGTCGACTAATAAAGATAAATCAATACGTTTAGCTGTCAAGAGTTCACCTGAAGTCTTGCACAAAGTACGGTACAGCTTTCTTGGCAACATGGAACTTATTCACAGGACAGAGTATAACTAACCGTTGAATGTTAATCATTAACAAACGCTGCGCAGTTTTTTTACAACGGGAAGGTGCTGAAGGTGTCCGCTTAATAGAGGTTCCACTGTATTAGGACGGCTCGGGATAATTCCCGGCTTAAGTAAGTAAGTAGTAGCAAAGGTTAAAACCAGTAGAGGGCGCCGCCGTAAACACTGTACACAAATTAAGTTTTTAAATTACTCAGAAAGAGCTGGATAACGTGAGCAAGTTGTACAATTTCAGCACTTTGCACGTAACATCTAAGGAAATAGCAAGCATCAGAAAATCGAGGAACGTTAATGAGCAATTCATCCTCTAGTTCGTGTAAAATCTCGGGTAAAAAGAGATTCGCTTCCCTTCATTTTAACCAACAGTCGTCACTAAGCAATGGTAAGCTTTCGATACTGCTTCTCTTATTTCCTTTTTCCTTCAAAATATTCACGAACATTTTTAATTCTCAGAAACCTACCTTCCTGAGAAATTGTCTTCCTTTGTTTTGTTGCACTCTCTGTGGGACGATTCTCAATTTTGACGGCATTAACAGCTTTTGGTTTTATCGTACGGCCAAATGGATGGCCCCCAATTATTTCAACAGAGAGCCCATAAACAAGTGCAATGTACGAAATAACAATCATTAGTTGTACAGCTGGAGTGACATCCATATTTAAAACTGGAATAATCATGTCTGGAAATTATCTGCGAAGAATTTCACAAATTTTCTTGGATAGGAAAACTATAAGTTTCTGCCCTTTTTTCCCAAAAAATTTACATTTAATAAGTCTTCAGATGTACCTTTCATAAAGATACCGGAAAATGTGTACGATTGCCAATGAAAGAAATAGCTTACACAGTTTGGAGAAAATATACATTGAACTGTTCCTTGGACCTGTTATTAGGCTATTTTCCCACAACATATATGCGGCGGTAATTACGTATCTATGGCTGCCAAATGAGAACGGCCACCAGCAAAACTTATGAATCTTTAATTGGCATATAAATTTCTCAAAGATTGCAATTTATTATTTACTCGTCAAGCTACATCTTTTCGCAGCGAAACAAACTGAGTATAAGTTGGGTTATTATAGAAGCAACAGCAGGAATGAACACCTATAGCTCTCAGAGACCTGCAATTTCAAAGGGAATGGCCTTCTCGGCTCATTTGAGGATGACCCGGATTCTGGAGTCCGGAAAATCTTTTCTTATGGATTCCGGAATCCTAGGCTTTGGAATCCAGAATACAACTCAAGGAATCCGGACAATCTGGAGTCTTGCTAACGATTGGAATCTGGAATTAAGTTCCACTGACAAAAATCAGGAATCTGGAATGAGGAATCCAAAGCGTGGAATACAGAATCCAAGATCGACTGTCTTGGATAACCTTACATGGAGCGAGCCTTGCTTTTTGTTTGAGAACACTGGATCAATGTAGGTTTCTGGGAAACTTCCCACCTACCCCTCCCCTAACCCAACATTTTGAACCAAGTGAGACGCAAATGTTAACGTTGAGTTAGGGGTGGGGTAGGTGGGCAGTTTACTAGAAACCTTAATTGATCTACAATGCTCAGCATTTCTGTTTGTATTGTAATTGGGGGTCATCATCTTAGAAGCTCCAAGTCCATTTGTGAAATCTTGTAAAATTTATGACGACAATCCAAAGCTGCAGTTCGGATAACTAGTCACTTTTTTTGACCAGATTACTTTAGCTATCTAAATTTACAGCCATATGACTCAGACGGAAAAAGGCCTTAGGTTCCTGCATAACAAGAAGGGCGATGTTCTTCGCTTCATATTTAAATTAAGCCCTCCTTTCTGACACGTCTTGGAAGAGAAAATTTGGGGGGGGGAGAGAGATTTTTCCATGATTAAAATATGCTTTGGTGCAATCTCGTTCCCAGAGACCGCGATCCTTTTGTAAAGCGACGGGGATGTACGTTGCCCCATCCGCTGGACAAAAGTAAAGGAGGCTCAGGGGACGAGATTAGCTTTGATGGGCAACGGAAGAGAACAAAATTCATATTTCGCATGCGCATTAGAATTTCCTGCTTGTGTTTATCACGCCAGTGACCGTCATTCATTTCCATATGACTTCTTCCAACTGGAAAATTCAGGTTAAGAAAATGGCAAGATGTCTTAAAATTACTTGCTAATGTGTCCAATAAAATGCAAATTCCTCTTCCCAAAAATACAGTCACACAGTGGGAGACTGATGCCGCGACCATACCGCTGTCGACGCTTGTTTTAACCAAGCCCAGTTAACGTTGCATACATGCCAGATGCCTCTGTTGTAGCAGGTACATTTTCTTTAGCTATAACACAAATAGAAAACTTTTTCGGTATTCAGTGAATAAGGTCCTTATAAGAAGAACGAAAGAAAATAAAAAACAAAAACGATCAAAAACGTTCTATTTCCCAGCGCCAAATTTTTTTAAGCGTTTAATAAAATAAATATAAAAAAATTTAGGCAGCATGCAGGAAATAAATAGGCAGTCTCCTGCGAAGGTTATTTATCCGAGAAGGGTAATTTATATTTGAATACTTTATTTAACTGTTTTCGTTCTAAAAAGGGTAACTGCAGCTGGCTGGCAAGGTAAGAATATTCTGTTCTGATTGGTTTGATATGTATGACATCATAAACTATAGCACACGTGTCCTCAATTAAGATTAAACAAGTAAGATTAATCTGCAAGCTTTGCCGAGCAATATGTAAAAACAGATGAGTTTGAAAAAGGCTAGCTTTGACAACTGTTAAACTTGTAGAGTATCTTAATTGCATCAAGTTAACGTTCTATTGTGAAGTTTTCGCACAAATTTAAGGCTGTTGCTTCGCACATTTCGAACCGTGGACAACTGGCAGCCGGACCATGTCTACTAGCGAAAAAGACAAGGTGGATTGGAAACTCGACCTGTTTGTTTATTTCATCGTTATCTCTTATGGAATAGGCGGTATATTCTTGTGTTATCATTTATGGCCGATGATCAAAGATATTTGGCGATCTTATTATCCTGAGACTGAGAAGCCCAAAACTGCGATGGAAAAGAAGACCGAGTAGACGTTGGTTTCTTTTATCTTATTTCGTGAATTTTATTCGTACAAATGGATTGTTAGCGATGTAAAGTTTAAACTAAGAAATTGGAAATTAAAGGTATGATGACAAAACACAGCCAATGTGTACAGCAATTTCTTTCCCAGGAGTCCCCGGGGTCAACTGTAGTCGCAAAGAAGCCAGCCACGTTTGCAGAAGGGCTCGACCAGCCTGTCTTTTGCCACAAACACATACAGTGTATTCAATTCACAGGATAGAAAAACTGAGGAGGATCTGTTCAAGAGAATAGTCAGCAGGCCATGGAAATAATTTGTCGGGCTCCAACATTATTGAACAGGGGCGCTGGTTATGAGCTCCCCGCGATCTGCCGTCCATCTCCATCACTTGATACATTGTCGATAAAGATTCCGCGATGGAATCGAAAGCTTCGGTATAATACGTTTTATCTATTCTGTGAATTGATGAATCCTCGTTTTATTCAAATTGTCCGTTATGGCAGGATTAAGCAACTCTTTCATCGCTAATGCATACAGTGTACAGTGTATACTTTGTATATTTTTTTGGTTCAACTTTGTCCTTCCCTCGAATTCTCCTTTCCTTTCGGTGTTCATATCATTATAACAGTTACAGTGCAAAGAAATTTTTTTGTTTATTTACCGCAGATCTTACTTCAATTAGTAAAGTGACGAGTTGAAATAATTTACCTTACAAAAAAAGATTCACAAAACGAGGAGTCTATGCCAAAGACTACTGCAAAGCTGATCATAGCAACGTGTATTGCTTTTTCATTACAATACTTCGGCTGACCATAACAGCGTTCTTCAGGTTTACAGATGTTACAAAAGAGATTGCTCGTTCAAGTGATATTATTGCTTCATCGTATCTAGTGTTCTCATTAGAAGAAAAAAACGGAGAAGCACTCTGAAGTCGATGCATTGAAGTTTAGTAAATATCACAAAAATAAAAAGAGCTAACTTAAGTTGTTTATCTTACTATAGATTGCTGAATGCGGAGGTCAGTGAGAATGTTCTTTTGTCTTCTCTGCTAAGTCTTCTGTTGAACTTTCTGAGGATGAGGAATCGCAACCTACGAAAAGACAAATCCAAAAATTGTCTCTAGTACAGTTAAGTTAAATGATAAAGCTGATCCATAGTAATCAGCGGACTAGCGTGTCTTATAGATGTATTAGTCTAACTATCGTGACATATGGGAAAACAGCCGACATTTAGCGACGCCACCACTGGTTTCCCCGCGAAATGACGTCTGAGAAATGAGCGCAGAAATTCCATACTGATGACGTGTCAATACCCAGATCTGGGAAGCGCTTTTCATTGAATTGCCGTTGAGGCACATTTTCCTCGCCGTACGACCAATCACAGTCACCAGCAATATCCATGCATATCTGGGTATCGACACGTTATCATTTTAGAATTTCTGCTATCGTTCCTCAGACTTCGTTTCGCGGGAAAACCAAAATGTCGGCTCAGTAATGCTACATTAAGCTTTTTCCTGACGTCATAGAGTACTAAAGTGATGACGCCATAAAAATGAAATTTCTGAAATTATGGGATTTGTCAGGGTATTCTGAAAGAATAATGTCCAAGAGGCCTACTTGCCAAAAATGAGCATTTTGCGGCAAATTGTCTCTGAGATCGTAGCCCAGTTATAGTCAGAAAACTCCATACAAACCCTTCTAATTTTTGGGAGGGTCGACCCAAAAAAAATTTAGAACGGTTTGTATGGAGTTTTGTAAGCATAACTGGGCTACGATCTCAGAGACAATTTGCCCCCAAATGCTCATTTTTGGAAAGTAGGCCTCTTGGACATTGTTCTGTCAGAATATNCCCTTCTAATTTTTGGGAGGGTCGACCCAAAAAAAATTTAGAACGGTTTGTATGGAGTTTTGTAAGCATAACTGGGCTACGATCTCAGAGACAATTTGCCCCCAAATGCTCATTTTTGGAAAGTAGGCCTCTTGGACATTGTTCTGTCAGAATATCCTGACAAATCCCATAATTTCAGAAATTTCATTTTTATGACGTCATCACTTTAGTACTCTATTGTTTACATTTTTGCTTGTATCAGCAAGGACTGGACAATACCAAAGAGATAAGAGATGCAATTCTCAATCGGGTCGTAGGAAAAGATTTTACAGTGAAACCTCTATTAAGCATACTCCCAATTAACCGGACACCCTCTACTAAGCGGACACTAAGCTGCTGGGTCCCGAAATTAACGTCCTATATTTTCCTTTATAACGAACCCCTATTGAGCGGACACCTCTATTAAGCGGGCGCGGACACTGAAACATATAAATTGTATTTGGCTAACTTCTATTGTTAAAAACCTTTATTAAGCAGACACCGGACTGAATTGACAACAGTAGTATTGGATTATTTCCTTGAAATACGTACTGTAGTCGATTAATAAAGATAAATCAATACGTTTAGCTTTCAAAAGTTCACCTAAAAGTCTTGGACAAATTACAGCACAGCTTCCTTAGCCTCCTTGGCAACATGGAACTTTTTCACAGTACAAAGTATAACTAACCGTTGAATGTTAATCATTAACAAACGCTGCGCAGTTTTTTACAAAACGGGAAGGTGCTGAAGGTGTCCGCTTAATAGAGGTTCCACTGTATTAGGACGGCTCGGGATAATTCCCGGCTTAAGTAAGTAAGTAGTAGCAAAGGTTAAAACCAGTAGAGGGCACCGCCGTAAACACTGTACACAAATTAAGTTTTTAAATTACTCAGAAAGAGCTGGATAACGTGAGAAAGTTGTACAATTTCAGCACCTTGCACGTAATATGTGAGGAAATAGCAAGCATCAGAAAATCGAGGAACGTTAATGAGCAATTCATTCTCTAGTTCGTGTAAAATCTCGGGCAAAAAGAGATTCGCTTCCCTTCATTTTAACCAACAGTCGTCACTAAGCAATGGTAAGCTTGGTAAGGATCCCTTTCGATACTGCTTCTCTTATTTCCTTTTTCCTTCAAAATATTCACGAACATTTTTAATTCTCAGAAACCTACCTTCCCGAGAAATTGTCTTCCTTTGTTTTGTTGCACTCTCTGTGGGAGGATTCTCAATTTTGACGGCATTAACAGCTTTTGGTTTTATCGTTCGGCCAAATGGATGGTACCCAATTATTTCAACAGAGAGCCCATAAACAAGTGCAATGTACGAAATAACAATCATCAGTTGTACAGCTGGAGTGACATCCATATTTAAAACTGGAATAATCATGTCTGAAAGTTATCTTCGAAGAATTTCACAAATTTTCTTGGACAGGAAAACTCTAAGTTTCTGCCCTTTTTTTCCAAAAAAATTTACATTTAATAAGTGTTTAGATGTTCCTTTCATAAAAATATGAAAGATATAGCTTACACAGTTTGGAGAAAATATACTTTGAACTGTTCCTTGGACCTGTTATTAGGCTATTTTCCCACAACATATATTCGGCGGTAATTACGTATCTATGGCTGCCAAATGAGAACAGCCACCAGCAAAACTTATGAATCTTTAATTGGCATATAAATTTCTCAAAGATTGGAATTTATTATTTATTCGTCGAGCTACATCTTTTCGCAGCGAAACAAACTGAGTATAAGTTGGGTTATTATAGAAGCAATAGCAGGAATGAACACCTAGCTCTCCGAGACCTGCAATTTCAAAGGAAATGACCTTCTTGCCTCATTTGACGTTGACCCGGATTCTGGAGTTCGGAAAATCTTTTCTTATGGATTCCGGAATCCTTGGCTTTGGAATCCAGAATACAGCTCAAGGAATCCAGTCAATCTGGAGTCTTGCTAACGACTGGAATCTGGATTTCAAGTCCCACTGACAAAAATCAGGAATCTGGAATGAGGAATCCAAAGCGTGGAATACAGAATCCAAGATCGACTGTCTTGGATAACCTTACATGGAGCGAGCCTTGCTTTTTGTTTGAGAACGCTAAATCAATTTAGGTTTCGGGGAAACTGCCTACCTACCCCTCCCCTAACCCAACATTTTGAACCAAGTGAGACGCAAATGTTAACGTTGAGTTAGGGGTGGGGTAGGTAGGCAGTTTCCTAGAAACCTAAACTGATCTACAACGCTCAGCATTTCTGTTTACATTGCGATTGGGGGTCATCATCTTAGAAGCCCCAAGTCATTTTTATGACGACAATCCAAAGCTGCAGTCCGGATAACTAGTCACTTTTTTGACCGGATTACTTTTAATAGCTATCTAAATTTACAGCCGTATGACTCTGACGGAAAAAGGCCTTAGGTTCCTGCATAGAAGGGCGATGTTCTTCGCTTCATATTTAAATTAAGCCCTCCTTTCTGACATGTCTTGGAAGAAGAAAATTTGGTGAGGGGAGGGGGAGATTTTTCCATGATTAAAATATGCTTTGGTGCAATCTTGTTCCCAGAGGCAGCGATCCTTTTGTACAGCGACGGGGATGTACGTTGCCCCATCCGCTGGACAAAAGTAAAGGAGGCTCTGGGGACGAGATTGGCTTTGATGGGCAACAGAAGAGAACAAAATTCATATTTCGCATGCGCGTTAGAATTTCCTGCTTGTGTTTATCACGCCAGTGACCGTCATTCATTTCCATATGACTTCTTCCAAATGGAAAATTTAGGTTAAAAAAATGGCAAGATGTCTTACAATTACTTGCTAATGTGTCCAATAAAATGCAAATTCCTCTTCCCAAAAATACAGTCAACACAGTGGGAGACTGATGCCGCGACCATATCGCTGTCGACGCTTGTTTTAACCAAGCCCGGTTAACGTTGCATACATGCCAGATGCCCCTGTTGTAGCAGGTACATTTTCTTTAGCTATAACACAAATAGAAAACTTTTTCGGTATTCAGTGAATAAGGTTCTTATAAGAAGAACGAAAGAAAATAAAAAAAAAAACCATCAAAAACGTTCTATTTCCCAGCGCCAAACTTTTTTAAGCGTTTAATAAAATAAATATAAAAAAATTTAGGCAGCATGCAGGAAATAAATAGGCAGTCTCCTGCGAAGGTTATTTATCCGAGAAGGGTAATTTATATTTGAACACTTTATTTAAATGTTTTCGTTCTAAAAAGGGTAACTGCAGCTGGCTGGCAAGGTAAGAATATTCGGTTCTGATTGGTTTGATATGTATGACATCATAAACCGTATAGCACGCGTGTCCTCAATTAAGATTAAACAAGTAAGATTAATCTGCAAGCTTTGCCGAGCAATATGTAAAAACAGATGAGTTTGCAAAAGGCTAGCTTTGACAACTGTTAAACTTGTAGAGTATCTTAATTGTATCAAGTTAACGTTCTATCGTGAAGTTTTCGCACCAATTTAAGGCTGTTGCGTGGCACATTTCGAACCGTGGACAACTGGCAGCCGGACCATGTCTACTAGCGAAAAAGACAAAGTGGATTGGAAACTCGACCTGTTTGTTTATTTCATCATTATCTCTTATGGAATAGGCGGTATATTCTTGTGTTATCATTTATGGCCGATGATCAAAGATATTTGGCGATCTTATTATCCTGAGACTGAGAAGCCCAAAACTGCGATGGAAAAGAAGACCGAGTAGACGTCGTCTTATATTTTAATAGATTTATTTAGTGGGGATCCGATTGGAACTGATGTGCTTCTAGGACTATACTACAAACAAGATGAAACTGCCAAAGAACTGAACTGGAACTCTTAGCCATACATTTTACAGATAGGATAATAAATTCATTTAACTCTAGTATCTTGACTTCTCAGTGGCCTTCGCTTGAACAAGATAAAATGTCATCAAAATTGTACGTGTTTATTTTTTTTCACTGGAATTTTTTTCTTCCTTCGGTTGAATAAGTCATTAATTCAAAAATATCAGGCTTGAAGAAAAAACTTCCAAAACAGCCTTTAGGGTTAAATTTAAACTGGCTGGTTTGTAAGAAAAATTTAATAATGAAAGAAGCTTGATACCCGAGAGGGTTAATATCAAGAAAACATAAGACAAAAACAACGAGAAATGTCAAGCTATTCGGACATTCGGATAACGGAAGCTCGATCTGACACTTTGTTTCACTTTTTTGTTCGTTTCTTTATGTGTGAAGAATTTTTTTTTTATTATGGTAATCCACGAAAAATGAAAACGTAATAAAGTTTCTCCAGACTACCCGGAAATGTGGTGCCGAGTGTATTTGCTGATGTTGTAAAGCAGTTTCTCGAAGTTGAGCAAAAGTGATATTGCATAGGTAAATATTGCGAGAGTTGTGTTATCATGCAATAAGAATACTTGTGTTTTTATGTAACTTAATGTAGAAAAGAGAAACCGCCATTTTCCACAGAACCATGAACACTGATGGAGTTAATTGCAAAACAACTGTTTTCTACTGCGCATGCTTGTACTTAAATGTTCTTTCGCAATTATCTGCATAAGGTAAGGCCAATCAAAACTTCGCGGAAAAAAATAATTTGTATGATAATTTCGACTGGTCAGTCAACTTTTCCACCCAGTGAGACATTGATTTGACGTTGACAAAACGCTAGATTTCCACAAGGTAATATATCAAACAGGAGAGGCAGTGTTTTATTTAACACAGACTTCTAGCCGACTGAATATCTTATGAAAAACTCTGTAAGTATAGTATTTGATATGTCTTCTCAAATAAATAATCATTACTGGAAACATAAAACTTAAAGGTTAAGTGCGCAAACTGTTAGTTAGTATAATTAGTAACCAATATCCAACCTTTTTTTTAGCTTCATTTTCTTTTCTTGAATTTTAATGTACTCAATTACAGCTGGACACGGCTTCGTGAAGTAGTTGCGAACAAACGCGGAGCTAAGGAGCAAATAACATTACCGTGGGTAGCTTGTGTTTTTTATCTTATTTAATGTCCAAGGGGATAGACACTATTTGTCCATTTCCTCCTGCTCATTGCTTTTATTTTTGGCTGTCCTCGTTTCATGCAGGCGATGGTTATTCATATGGACTACATTATTTACGTTTTCAATTTCATCATCTATGTCGTCCTCTGCGGCTTTCTCATCAAGCAAGCAAGACAGGACATTTTTGCAAACGCCAAAGAGGAAAAAGAACGAACGGCAGGATGTCCAGTTCACAGACTTCCAAAAGCAGCCAACAAGAAGAACAAGTTGTTTGTTTCATATCAGGCTTGAAGATGAATATATTTCTATTCCAAACGGAAAATGACTTTTCTAAAGATACTGTGCGATTTGAGGTTGTTTCGGATATACTAGAGAGAGAGATACTGAATTTGGGTCTCAGTAGTTTCTGATATTCTGTCATGAGATGCTGTATCATGTGCTTTGTCATGTATATCAATGAATGACTCGAAATGACAAGCCTCATCAGTCCGAGCGGTCTTTAACTTCGCATTTTTCTTAGATCAATATGTAGTTCTGTTAGTTATTAAACGTTTTGTTAAAACAGCGCTTACATGTAACAATGTTCTTCCCTATAAACGGCACTTCATCCTCGATATAAAGCTGCAATGGCATGCAAAGACTGCCAAGGTTATTTCGCTATGGTCCTTCCGCTTTGTTATTTACATCAGTGTACTTGATCAGCTAGACTAGAAGCAAGTATGTCAAATATTTTCCCAAGATACTGGCACCGATAGACTATTTGAAAGGGAAAAAGAGGAAGATAATTCGATAGTCTAGCTAGCTGTGTCTTAAGCTGAAATCACCCATCATTCCTTATTCCGCTCATTGCATAACTGTAAGTTTTGAATTGATAACGTTCTTACACTTAGAATAAGAATATTGTTTAGCTCAGTAGAGTAAAGAGAGGCAGAAATATTGTTCTTACGGATTTTTCTTTTTATAAATAAAATCAGACAGCGTTTGAACAGTCTGGATGCGCTTGAGGCTACTTGACAACTGTTACCAGGCGGATCTTGGAGTTGATGTTTGAAAGCCGTACTAATTCAGTACTTAGCTCAACGAGCCTTTATTTTCATTTAACAGGTCACGCGCTCCGTTTTTATCACGAACAGTCCCGTCCAGACAGAGCCAACTACGTCACCATTTATCGTCAAAACATCGTGTCAGGTATGAAATGATTAACTTCTGTTACATCGATGACATTGGCCTGTTGTCTTGAATTGAATGAAGTCTATTTTTTCTAACTCAATGCCACAGGATGCGCCAATCTATATACTAATTAGTGAAGGTTTTTATCCATAACATTGAGACACTATGCTAAATTCATCATCTCGTTGTCCTTCCCGAACCGATCGAAAAACGTGTTTAATTTTATTCGTTGGGTGAAACCAATGGGATGTGACGATATTGACGTTAAGGACATTAAAGTACGCAGGGGTCTCTCTCCAATTGGGTATACTTCCTCTCTACTATACTACTGTGACTCTAGATGGCAAGTAACATCAAAATACTAGAGACGAATTGCTTGTTTAAAATGCTATTGATTGTGGTATTCTATTGTCTGTCGGCGAAGTTGGCCTCTCTTTCTTTACTAATGCCAATGCGATTGAAGAAGGAATTCCCAAACTATGAAATGAGTTAATTGAAATATCGTCAACACTCCTTTTTCGTACGTAAGCCCCTGCACTTGCCTTCAGACAGGATGACAAGCATGATGTACGGCCAGGTACGTAGGCGTCTATGTTATTTTCATTTAGACAATTACAATAGATTAGCTTTTCTCCAGTTGATACATGACTCTGAGTGTTTCTTTACGAAGGTGATTCGTTTCCTTTTCGAGTTGACCAGTTTCGAGAACAGTAATAGATGGAACATAAGGCCTTAAAAACACTTGCTCTGGCTTTTTTTCATGATAAAATCTTGAAATCTAGTACAAATTAGCAATTAAGATTAATCTAGCATTCCAGTAGTCCAAAAACAAAAACATCGATGACAATTGTCACAAATTTCCGCGGATTGTTATAATTATTCTTTCATAAGAACAATCAAGTTTCCCCTTATAATAAGTACACTCACTTCTTCACTCTCAACTTTTAAAAGCCTACTGTATTTTATTACAGGTATGAAGTTCAACTTTAACAAATACGACCGTTCAAAAATTGATTCCCTTGGAACACCGTACGATTATGGCAGTGTGATGCACTACGACTCAAGAGCCTTTAGCAGAAATGGCCGCCCTACAATTGTTGCTAGGAAACCCGGGGTAGGTTTTGTATCAACCTTAATAATAGGGCCGCTTTCGCATATTTTCAAGGAGTTTGTAAGTGAGGGCTTTCATGTTAGCCATCAATTTAAATTAGAACAATTTGCCCAAAAAACATCGAGTACCCATATTTGTCTCACGGGCGCGCCACTGAACAATATTTGGACGCTTGTGGTAAACAATGTTTGCTTGCAGTCGTTTCTGACTCGTTTTATATGTGATACTCAAGAAGTTCAATCGATTAGAAAGGGCTTTGTAATTCGCATCCGTAGGTAATCAGGCTCTTAATGTAATAAATCAAATATGAGACAGTGTTTCATGATAAGACCAATCATTGAGAAGAGATCGTGCTGAAGATATGACGCGCAGCGGTGCACCTTGGTCTACTTTTGACGAACTTCGAGGTGTGTGTAGCCTGCGCCACATAAACTTTTGTCTGCGACGCAGGCCATGGTGTGATGAAGTACTGCTTGGAATGTTTCATATCAATTCTGATTTTAAAAGGCGCAATTGAAGACTGATGCAAAAATGAGGAGTTTTGCAACTGATGTCGAAAAGCTCATTAATCATAAATTTTCTTTGTATTTTCTTTATGCATAATTCTAATGTGTTTGAATGGCAACGTTGGCTTTGACTTCGCTGTTTTTTTTTTTTTAAACAGAGGAAGCAATTATGGGCCTCAATGCAATCAAATCGGTTTGTTACAATTTTGTTTGCTGTCGGTCTTGTAGTGGCTTTAACGTCTCCGCGATCAGGAGAACAGCTTTATGTAGCTAGAAGGGTGTAGAGCACAGCTTGAATAAGGAAGGAAGCTGTTACATCTATTGTAACGGAATAAACAGTACAGACAGCACTCTACTTTGTTCGCCAGGTCCAGCTGGGCAACCGACATCGTCTTAGCAAAATTGACATACAGCAAATGAACTTGTTGTACATGTGTTCTGGGGGTGGGGGTGGTGGTGGACCTGAGCCACCCCAGTCACCTCCCCCTCCGACTCCTCCTTCCGAGTGCCGAGACACTGGAAGGTACTGTTCCTATCATGTTCCCAGGGGAGATTGTAAGAGGATGCAGATAGTGCGGCGGAAATGCAAGAAGAGCTGTGGTTTGTGCTAAAGAATTGGTATAAAAGAAAACTTGTTCATAACATGCGTGCCAGGCGCCGGTTAGTTTTTTTTGGTTAGATTTTATAGGGTGCAAGAGGGGAAAGCTACGTGTAGGCTAACTTGATTATGACTGCTAAGCTAGGTCAGACGTACGTTTTCACATTTTTAGAAAAATTAGAAAAACACTAGCTCGGATGGGATACCTCTTTTGGGGTCAGTTTTATTCTGAAACCCCATCACTCCACTTCCCCTTCTCGCCCACCGGTTCGGCATATGAAAAGTACGAGCGTGTGAACCAGGCCTAAGACTTCCGCCATCTCTATTTACCTGCATGCATGTCCAAACGAACCAAAAGGCACATTCATTTCCTTTAAATTTGGTGGGAGTTGGTCGCTAATAAACTATGAGATATTAGGTCACATTACAGAGAGTGGCATGAGGTTAAAAAAATCTTTTTCGCGCTTCTTTACATGAAAACTTATAAAGCAGGTCCAAAAAGGCCATATGTTTCCCATCTATAAATCTTAAGCTTTAATAGAATCCAAGATAGATTCAGGTAAAGTTCCCAAAGTAACGACCTCCCGAAAGATAGTAGCGACCCTTCGAAAGTAGCGATAAAATTTCACAAGTGTTAGCAATTGCCAAAAGTAGCGACACTCCGAAAATAACGAACCTCTGAAAGTAGCGACTTCAAAAGTGATTTCCCTTCTTGCTAGAAATAAAGGAAATTATAGTTACAACAAGGATTACCGTAAAGTTCCCAAAGTAACGACGTTAATCGACCTCCCGAAAGTAGCGACTCTTCGAAAGTAGCGGTAAAATTTCATAGGTGTTAGCAAATGCCAAAAGTAGCGACACTCCGAAAATAACGACCCTTTGAAAGTAACGACTTCAAAAGTGATTTCCCTTCTTGCTAGAAATAACGGAAATTATAGTTACACCAAGCTTTACCGAATCGATCCGAGATTTATCTTTTAACGCCGGATTATAATGATCTTTGACATTTATTCAGCGATTCATTTATATAACTCAAAAGGTACATTACAACTTTTTTTAAAGTCTTCCTTTCGTCTGTGAATACCCACACCGTTATCAAAAAAATCTTTTGAATATTTATTTAAAAAACAATGACTTGAAATAAGCTTCTCCAAATAAAGAGTGTGGATATTTTCACAATAGTATCGTACCCTTTATCGTACCCGAAAGTAGAGACCTCCATTCTCGTCCCCAGAGCCACTCGACTTAATTTGTAGCAAGACCACGTGACCAAGACACGACGTGCTCTGGGGACGAGAATGAGCGATCTCTTGAAAGTAGCAACCCTCCGAAAGTAGCGATAGGAAAAGGCAGCTAAATCAGAAAGTAACGAGGGTCATTCCTTTGGAACTTTACGGTAAATGATTCCTTCTTCTCACCCCGGGCACACCATTTTTATCCTCTCTTTGTCCGTATCCTCGTTTCCGAGAAATTCCGCGGTCCGTATAGGCTTTTTATTACATATATAGGTCTGCAATTTCTAGAACATAGAAAGGCGGAATTCGAACTGCATGGTAACGTACATGTACACTTATTCGAAATAACTGCAGGTTATGTTTTTTGAGTCCTTGACGCAAACGCCCCCATTTTACCTGACGTCACCGAGAGTTTGGTAAAGTTTATTTTGGGAACTGTGGGACGTCTTTGCTACGGCAACCACCCACAATAATATACTATCGCTTCAAACGACTACTTTTTATAATTAAAATTACTTTGGTGGGATTTAAAGCCGAAAAAGGGCATAAAGCCATTATAGGGAGTTAGGTGGACAGTGATTCTTGAAGATGAATTTATGCCAAAGTCAGTGTAACTGTTGACCTGTTTGGTCATGATCTGTTGTTCGTTGATTAAGAAGAAAAAGGTTTTTATCCATGAACGCAACATATAACCTTTTATTCAGTTGACCACTTAAAGCGATGAGTCATTGAATTCTGTAGGGGAAATTACCTTACAGACCAAAATGTGGTCAGGAAAAGAACAAGAAAAGGAAAAAGATCAGGCTACCTTTATCATTCTTTCACGGTTGCACTGCTTTCTATTAATATACATGTACCAAGGAATGGGATTGGACGGGTCTTCTTTGGTAATCTTTAGTTGATTAAATGGTATCCTGAATGGCATCAACAGTTAATCCGTTCAGAACAACTGGCTAAAATTGGTTTACGTAAGATCTCAGGAAATAATAAATTGAAGATATCTGATTGTGAATTTTCTCTAAACGAAAAGGTTTCTAAATCTGGCTGGGTGTAAATACTTGAACAGTAACATTCCGTAATTCTATTCAGGGGCCAATGTCAGTTTCGCTTTATTTTGTATCAGCGCTCGCGTATTGTGCTTTTGTGGCTTTTGCCTGAGTTCTACAGCTGTATTTAACTTTTATGACAATGGCTAATATCTTTACTTCGTACGTTGGAGTATGACGTCTTTGCCTTATCCTCAGCCTGATAATCACTTCCGGTTGAATCAGAAGGAAGTGAGCTGTGTAGACTATTATGGTCTAACTCAGCTGAACTCGCTCATTTCTCAATCAAAGATGGCGGTACGTCGCCATCGGAGCCATAGAGCTCCTTCCGGTCAAGAGGAATGGCAAATGGCTCGGTCCTGGCTGAGCAGTTTAGATGTTTTGCCTGAATTTCACAGAGCTTCCTACCCGCATGCAACCGTCTTCGATCTGGCACAAGCCCTTCGAGATGGCGTATTGTTATGCCAAGTGGCAAATCGGTTGCGTCCAAACTCTGTACCAGACATCAACATGCGTCCTCAAATGTCTCCGGTTTGTAATTTGTGGTTTTTTTAGATCGCTTGTTCTTAGCAAGACTGGCGATAGTTAAAAGTAGACTGAACATTCTTGAGTTAGATTTAATTAATGTCCAAATGGCCTGTTGTTTTGTCGATGCAGTTGAAGACCCACAATGATGTTTGTCGATTTTTTGACAAGCTACACCTTAAATCACTTTCACTGCTGCAATTAACATTTTTACTGCACTTCCTTTTTCATCCTAACAGTTTTACTGTAGAAAGAATATTCGAAGTTTTCTGACATCTTGCGTACGGGATTTCGGCTTATCAAACGAAGCATTATTCGATGCAGGCGAGCTTTTCGACGTCTCGGATTTTGCTAAGGTAAGAGTCAGGGGTAAGCGTTTAAGCTTACATGGTTAGATTAAGTCAAAGTTTCACCCTCAATAAATATTTCTATTCACGCTGGCGCTAGCAAGGAATTAATTTCTCATTGACAGATCTAGGCGGCATACATTTTGCATTGCAGTCACTAAATTCGAACAAGCCAGAGCCGAGCGTGTAATGCGAAATGTGTATTTTAACCTAGAGGAGCTGCTGGCCCTAATTTAACAGCTTTTCGAAATGGAAAGTTATTAAATTTATAAATATCAATATTACTGCCATTTACAAAGTGCTCATTTTCTTACCTGTTTGTCTTCCTTACAATTTTAATGAGTTAAATTTTATTTCAACAAATATTTTAGGCCCAGAAATGTGATACAGTTGATGAAACATTGCAATGACAGTAACGATGTAGTACCGCAGATGTGTCATTTAAATTTTGTGTTCCAACTAAAGGAATGTTATCTTTGTTTATTTAAGACAGTAACAGCGAATCGGATATAAAATCACGAAGTGGCTGAGTTGTACTGTTAACAATCATGTTATTCGTGCTGAGGTTTAATATTTTCTTTTCCCAGTATGCAAAATTGTTTAAATTCCATGGTTGAAGCGTGTATGGTAACTTTATGACGAAAAAAGAGTTGTTTTAGGAGGAATCATCCAGAGTCATAGTTAATCTTGATTATGTTTTCAAACCCACCTGGCTAAAAGAATATTTACTTTAAAATAGGACGATAGTGTACATGTAGTTTACATGTATAATGACCTAGTTTGTTAAACTAATAAATATATTTGACCTTAGAATGAATTATCAGGAAATTAGTTGCATAACAGGGAAAAGTTTTTGTTATGGGGTAATAGTTTCCTTCCTTATTGATGTTCTGACCCTGGAACAGTAAGTGGCAACATCTCATAGCAGAAAAATTTGTTCCTGTCAAACACAAAATGATAATTGCCAATCCATAAAGTACAGGGCCAAACTGTTACTCTGTTATGTTATTTTTAATTCCCTGGTTACAATGCAAAACATACAATGTAATTTGCTGCTGAAACCTTGGGGTGCACTCAAGGGAAGTCTGGGTAGAGCTCTGCTCAAACCCTGACCCTGTTTAAGACAAAACTTGCTCATTTCGCTACACTATTCATGACAGGAGACACTATATTCTGACCCTGATTTGTTTTGTTTTGCATACAGAATTAAGTACTTTCAGGAGCCAATAATCTAGAGCAAGCAACTCCTGTACTAGGCCTATGTCACGGCATTTTTGCAGACCAGTTTTTTTTTTAGATTCATTTTAGAGCACTTTTACCAATGAAAATGGAAGCTCCTCTTCATTCATGAATGCATTATAAATATGCAGCGTGACAAAGGAAAAAATTTTGGTTTTGCTGACAGGTTTGTGAGACCTGAAATATATTCTAAGTTCACAGCAAAATCCTTCGAAAAATAAACTAATCAGTGATATCGCCGTGACACAAGTACATTGAAGTTGCTCACTCCAGGTTATCACTTATGGTCGCCTGTAGACTGCTCATTGCCAGCCTTCACACTCTTTAAAAGGTTTCCCGTCCAAAAAGACACCCTGTTCAAGACACTTAATAATTGGGTGATTTTTGGTGTTTATGTTTTTATTCAACCTTAAAGTACATTGCCACTGTGTATATGTTAAAGGTCAAACCTTAAATTAAAGCAGGGTTGTCAAAAGTAGCCGGCTGCCGGCAAAAAGTGCCGCTTACTTGGTTTTTATCGGCTGGCTACTCTGCTCGACATTAATTTTCTTTACGGATGGCGTTTTTTAAATAAAATATCCCTGGACTGCCCACTTACTTTAACAACTCAGCCGTCTACTT